TTTTTTCTTCAAGATAGAAAAGGTTGAATAAATATGAAATTGAAAGTACCAGGTATTTCAGTTCACATAGAAGCTGTCAGAGGGGGAAATAGATAAAATATATATTTTAGCAATTACAGTTTCTGTAAAATTAACTGTATTTTTCAAAGAGGTTTTTCCCCCAGAGGGTGGTTGGGCACTGGAGCAGCTCCTTTGGTTACAGCACAAAACCTACCAGAGGCCAAGAAATGCTTGGACAACATTGTAAGTCAGGTGGTTTAATTGTAGGTAGTCCTGTGAGGAGCAGGGATCTAGACTCAAACATCATGGATTGTTTCCAAATCAAGAATTCCATGATTCTATGATAACACTTCACCTTCTTTGTAAAACCTGCTTTGTTTCACAGAGTGTCCAACAACTGAATAATTAAGAGCTGACTGTCCTTGAGAACAACTTAAAAAATCAGAGGAGAGCAAGACTTTGAACTTTTTTTACCTTCAGGCAGACATTTAAAAAAAGTTGCCAAGGTTAAATTTGGGTAAGGACCAAGAAGGGGCAGAAGGTCCTGGCATATCCTTCAGAGGGATCTGACACAGCTCTGCTTCTTTCTTATTTCTTTCTGTCCCTAAGCTGCAAAGGAGTTGTGTGTCTGAACCTTTGCATTTGGTTTATCCTGGTTATCTCACTCAAATAAATGATCCTCAGGTGTTCAATAAAAGCTTTGTTTAGGTGAGATATGTGAGATTAGAACTTTAAGTTCAGGAAAAGCCTCCTGTGTGAAAGTTTGTTGGTTCTGTGAGGGCAGAATGTGCCTCGGGATTGATTTTGTTGTTCCTCCCAAGCCTTGGTAGAGAGCAAACAGAGTTGGTTAAAGGAGGCTACAGGTGACTAAAAAAGCGTGGTGCTAATACAACAGGGTGGCCTCTGAGTGACACTGCTTGAAATGCTCTAAAAGGTTTTGAATTTTAGTTGCAATGCCAGGAGCCCCCCAAGACTGCCCAGATTCTGGCCTGTGTTTCAAACAGTGAATCCCCAGCTTGGTTTCTGTCCCCCAGCTTGGTTTCTGTCCCCCAGCTGTGACGCTGCCGCCTTTGCCCGGATGAGTCCTCGCGGTGCTGGCAGGGATCAGCCCTCTTGTCCTCCCCAACAATGCATTCCTTAGCAAAACCCAGGCAGCTTCTGGAACAAAGAGGGCTTGTCTCAGGCTGGCAAGGCTCAGATCAAGTGTTTGCTCTGCTTGCTCCAAGTGCTGCTCTCAAACCAGCGCTGCCCGGGGCCTCCAAGCGAAACTGAAGCAGCAGAAGTCCAAAATTTGGATTTCTGAGCCTGGACTGGGGATATCAACACCCAGAATTTGGGATAGAACGTTTGGCTTGGCCAAACAGTCATGGAACCACTGAGGTTGGAAAAGAAACCCCTTTGTCTGGAGGCACAGAGATCTCATCTGAACACAGCTCAATTTTCATCATATCTCGTGCAACAAAGTCCTGCTTGAATCCGGGCTTAGCAATGGAAGGTGAAAATTAATGCCAAATGCCTCCAAAATATCTCAACATCACTAGTCAGCCACTGGGAGGAAACAGAGAATCCACATCTCTGAAATGATTATTAAAATACAGGAAAAAGCAAAGTGACAGTCATTAAACTTGGCAGGCTCTTTAGAACAGCAGCAGGACAATTAATGTCTACATTACACCCTGTGACTAATCCACTTATTTCAGAAAAAAAAAAAAAAAAAGAGAAAATTTGGTTGGATGAGTACCAGGTGATTCAGGGCAAAAGAGGTGCTCCAGGTGTTATTCTAGGAAATGGAAACAGCTCTCACTCCAGTGACACAGCCACTGATGAGTTTCCTCAGCCAGGAGAGGTTTCATTAAAATAAACTACTTGTGTCCTGAGTCTGAGAGAGAAGATCTCCTAACATTCACAAGCTGCTGTGTGAATTTTAATGTCTCCTTAGGTTTTGCCATCTAGATAAAAGCAGCCAAAAATTTTAAAAATACCACAGGGAGATTCTAGTGCAATCCTGTTAAAAGAGCTTGGTTGTGACTTGGTGAGTCTGATGGAGTTAGCTAAAAAAATAAAATTATCTGTTGGGTGAAATGATCTCTAGAGTATATTCCTTTAGTTATATATTTGGAATTTGGTGCAAGCAGTGGGGCTTGGGCAGTGAAGGACCCCATGGCCAGAACTGGGAGCAGAAGGTTGTGCTCAGCTGCTGAATTCAGCTTGATGTCAATGCATGTCTGTGGCATTCCATGGCAAAGCACGGAGAGAAAGTAATGAAAACCAGAAAAATGGCGTTCCTTACCCATACCCTGCAAACCCTAACTGGGTTTTGAAATCTCAATCTACATGAGGATTTGTTATTAACAAATAAAAAATGGAATCTACTTGCTGGCTATGAGATGCAGAAACAAAACCATGTTTATTTATACCCTGTTATAAATATTTTTGTGGCGGGTTCCTGGGAAGGAGGACTACAGATCTGAATGATCTGCTTCATTCTCCAAAATTAGAATGGAAGGATAAACAGGACAGGAAATCCAGCATACAAACAAGCAAACAAGGACTTTGTTTCTGAGCTTTGCTTCAACCCCTGTTCTGGCCAAATAGGTGCCTTGGTGGTACTGGGAACAGCATGAAGTCAGGAATTCAAAGACACCATGCAATTATTTACTAAAAAATACACACGCATTTCAAATCAAATTGCTTTTGATCCCTTCTCTTCCCGTTAAAGAAACCTTGAGGAGAATTTCTCAGGGATGTGCAGTTTTGTCAGAGCTCTGAGCACTTTCAGCTGTTTGCTCGTTCCCCTCTCCCAGTGGGATGGGGGAGACAGTTGGGGAAAAAGAAAATATAAAATAAAATAAAATAAAATAAAATAAAATAAAATAAAATAAAATAAAATAAAATAAAATAAAATGTAAAAATAAAATAAATAGTCTTGGTCTCCCCAGCCTCCTCACTGGCAGGGCAGCACAAGGAGCTGACAAATCCTTGATTGAGTGTGAGAGCTGCCCAGAACCATCATTGTCTTCTCAACATTATTCTCATCCTCAATCCAAACAGGGCACTGTACCAGCTGCTATGCAGAAAATTACCTGCCCCAGCCAGAAGCAGTGCAGGGTGTGATTCTGTCATTGGGTTGATATTTCTAAGGGATTTTCTTATGGTGCTGCAAACAAAATATTTGTTGTTGGTGCTGAGATGATGGGTTGAGTGCTGGGTGAACAAGCACATGGCTGAGTCGTGACAGACACACCAGGAGGAAATAAAATAACCCAAAACCAAAGTCAGACAGTTGTGCAAAGGAAAAAGCTGCCAAGTGATGGTTGGTGTGTCCTGTCTGAGGGCAGAGCAGGTGACAGAAAATTGATTTAAAAGGGCAAAAGAAGTGTCCTTCACGTGCTCCTAGTTCTTGACACCCTTGTGTTTGCAGGCACCAGCCTTCACTGGGAGATTGGCATAACTGATCCCCTACAGACCAAACAAAAAACCAAAACAAAAGGCCAAATAAACAATTTTAGCTTACTTTTTGGCCTTAATTCCTTGTATTTTTTAACTTGGACATGAAAGGCAAGAAATCCCAGGTCTTGCTTTTCATGTTTTCATGCATCAGTGATAAATGTTTATGTGGCATTTGGCTGTTTGCATTTCCAGCATATTTCAGTCTGATTTATAAATGTGCACAAGACATTCTGAAAGGCTGGGTAAGTCCTGAGAAGCCAAACTCCTCACAACTGCAAAGCATAAAGCCATGGAGGAGAAAAAAAATTAAATAGTTTTGTGATCAGAAACCAAAAGTAATAAAAATTGAACAAAACTCTTCCTTCTGGAAAGAAGATTTGAAATGTCTTTCACCTTTTGACATTTGGGTGAGAGCTGAAAAGGCTCCCGGCTGGGATTCAATCTCTTGGATGACATTTGTGGTTTTGCCTGGTTTAGGGTGTGTGTTAATGGAAGGCTAAAAATTGATATAACAAGCCTTTAGAATAGATTGGGTGTTTCAGCCTTAAAGATTGCAAACAAAATGTCTTTAACAGCTCAGTGTATTTTGAATTTGGATTTATTAAATCTAGAGAAGTTAAAACTTAATGGAAAATATATTAATCATGCTCAGAATAATTAGAATGTTGTACAGCCACAAATTGTTGTGGTAAGATCAATTTTTACATTTCTTTTCCAGAGATGATCCATTCTCATCAAATTAAATCTTCCTTCCTTTCAATGAACCTTGAAATATTTCTTGATGCCTCACTCACCTTTTCACTCCAGCTCACAAAATTTTGAGGCATTAGATAAATGGTTTTAGAATGGTCTGAGAGGAGAATTTAAGAGGACAAAAAAATGATAAAATAATTGTCCTACACATCTTGTGGCATGAAAGTTGAAATTGTTTCTTAATCCTTTAAGAGGTGTTAGGATTACAAAGCTGTTCTAAGGCATTGCAGCAGAATTTATTGAAGATAAAGATATCACAGCTTCCCACAAATGGCACATGTGAGTCTGTCATCAGTGAGGCATTTTGGTGGCTCATAGAATTTAAAGTTTGCCCTGCATCCACCCAGTGAGTGATGCTGACCTTTGCTCTGACATTGTGCCATGTGAAGGCAGCTCCTTCAGTGCCAGCCCGGCAGGAAAACCATCAGGAACAGAAACAACAGCCAGGAGGGTGACAGCACCAACCACTGGTGTGAGGGAATTGTCAGCAGCAGGGGTAAGATATTGAAATATTTATAATTTTAATAATTATAATATTGATAACATTACACTTAATATAATTATATATTTAATATACTTTATATTAAAGTATATTAAATATCGAATAATTTATAATATTTATAATTATATTTTAATATATTGAAGTAATTTTTATATTAAGATATCAAGAAGTTCCCTGTGGAGTGTTTCAGAAGCAGAGGCTCAGACCATCACTTGGAATTTTTAATCAAACAGACCACACTCTTCAACGCAGTAAAACATTTGTATTTTAAGCACTGAGACATTAATTTGAGAGACAAAATAGATTTATTGCTTTGTAAATATTCCCTCCTTTGATTATAAATTACACTGCTCAGAGAACAGATTAATTTTATCTTGGAAATCTCTGCATTTTATAAATAAGCCCAGACCCATCATTGTTTCAATGAGAAATACAGCACTAAAAGGAATACTCAGAGTAATTAGAATATTGTGTAGCCACAATTCTGGTTGCTAGAAGAGTCCTGCCCTATGAGTGAAATTTTCAGGGTTTGATCTCAGTGTATTGAAGGTCAAGGCACAAAGAGCTCCAGTTTTAAAGGATGGCTCCCAGATCAAAGTCAGAAATAAGCAAACTCACAGATTCATTCACTGCTTTCAATTATTTGGACGGGCTTCACATTAGCAGGGATGACAACTCAACTAAACAAACTTCATAAGCAGAACACAACTGAGGGAATGAAATACTTCTCAAGAAGGCTGGGAGTTTGCTGTCATGGAATCATGGAATCATTTAGGTTAGAAAAGACCTTTAAGGTTATTGAGTTCTACCATTAAACTAGCACAGATAGGTCCACCAAGAAACCATATCCCAAAATCCACAATCATACTGGAGCTAATTAGCACAATTCAAAGAGTGACAGCACTAAAAAGGATTACAGAGAACTCTCATTTGGGACAACCAGGGAAGTTAGACTTTTTAAAAACGTGGGTGAAAGCAGAAGCTTGCAAGGTGTGGATCTCTTCCTTTTTATGGCAAAGTTGGCAAAAGCAGATTCCAGTGAGACATCACAGAGCTGTGGCTTTTCTTGAAGCCCGTTGGTCACCCTTGAAGCAAACGTGAGAGAAATTTATTCATCTTTCCCAGTGCTCTCACTGGGAGCATCCCCTCCTCGGAGCCGGAGGGGCCCGACCACCACATCCACTTGTTCCTCAGCAGGGCTGGTGTCCCTCTTGGTCCTGGAGCTGCAGCCCCTGTAGCAGTGGGAGGAGTAGTCCCCGAGCCTGCAGACCAGCATCTGGCACTTGAGGTACACCGACGGGTGCCGGCTCATGAACTCGAAGGCGTTGAACTTGAACCGAGCAAAGTGGCTGGAAGGGGAGTGGTAGGTGGCATAGGAAGAGTCTCTAGGACACCTGGAAAGGAGCAAAAGAAGGGGATTATCTTCATGGATACGCACATGCGCATTCCTGAAAAATTAAAATTCAAATGATTCGATTTATTATGATGAATTCCCCCAAAATTCAGATTAAAACTGAATTATGTCATAGTTGGGTACTAGGAAAGCAGTGGGATAAAAATGTAACCTTCATAGCATGGTATAGATTTTAAAAATATAGAAATATATCAAATATAAAATAAAATATTAAAAGTGTATTTTAAAGCACTATGAAGCAACTGGAGTGTTGGCAACCCTTCTTCTTTATCCAAGAGAAGGACACTTTAAGTGACGAAGAGGGTACAACAGACTGCTGTTAATGTCAGTGTTATACAAGGCCTAAAAAATTAGTCTAATGCTTGACCTGGTTTTACTAAAATATTTAACTCCTAGGATGACAATTCCTACCGCCAGTTTTCACTGTGTCCACTTTTCTCCCATACTTCGAATTTTGTTCACAGGACAAAGATGAAGTGAAATGAAATGATAGTAAGGTTTAAATATAATTTCTTATTTCCAAGTTCATACTGCAAAAATAAAAAATATCAAAGACCACTTTTCTCGGTCTATTGGCAAGGAGTTCTAACCCCATTCAGATTATTTTAACAAATTATTTTAAAGAAATGTGGGTGACAGGTGTGCCTCCAGCTTTGAAGACAGCTCTTACCCATTCCTGACTACGTAATAGGCCAGCGTGTTAAAATCCTGGGGGTCAGGCGCTGCCACGCACGTGTCCACAACCACCTTCAGGTTTGGGTCCGAGCTGTGGAGACAGGCTTGCAGGTAGAGGTTTTGGTTGAGGCCAATGTAGTAGGGAGAGGCGCGCACTTGGCGCCGGAACGCCGGGGACTGATAGAAGGTGATGTTCATGTTGTATCTCCCAAACTGGTACTCGTCCACATCCATGGTGTCCTCAGCGGCGTACACCACCTGCTGCCAGCTCTTCCTCAGCATTTTGCAGCTGACGTGCAAGTTGATGTTCTTCTTCCTCTTGATTATGTACCCGGAAGATGCGACCCTGATGGTGTTGGCGTAGTTGATTGTGTCGTTGTTCTCCTGTTTAACGATGCAATTTCAAATCAGGAATTGTGCTTTTGTCATGTGCCACTGTCATATTTCCTGAAAAATCCCTTCTCCAGGATTTCTTCTCCTGGGAAGATGAGAAGCCTCAGCTCCTCCTGTGTTTGCTGCTCTGGAATGTGGTCTGGAGATTGTTTATCCAAACATGTGAATTGCTTTTACCTAATGACCAATCACCATCAGCTGTGTCAGACTCTGAGGAGTCAGTCACGAGTTTTTATTATCCATTCTTGTTAAGCCTTCTGTCTGTATCCTTCTCTTTCTTTAGTATAGTTTTAGTATAGCATTCTTTAATATCATATCATATCATATCATATCATATCATATCATATCATATCATATCATATCAATAATATAATATAATATGATATCATATAATATAATTAATATAATATAATATAATGTAATGTAATGTAATGTAATATAATATAATATAATATAATATAATATAATATAATATAATATAATTAATATAATGAAATAATAAATCAGCTTTCTTAGAACATGAATTCAGATTCCTCATGTCCCTCCTCATCCTGACCCCTCACAAACACCACAGTCATGTTCCATCTAAGTCTTGCCAAGCTTAGATATGCAACTGAGTGCCCAAAACACAGAGTTTACCTCTTGGATTGTCCCACAGCCATTGTAGGGGATGTTGAATACAACCTCCTGTGAGGTGACTGTCGGTCTGCAGCGATTGTCATTCAAGGTGACCTTCCGTGCTGAGTATCCCTGGGACTGGAGGTAGTCTCTGCTGACCACTACATGCATGTAGTCTGGCAAGCACTGAATGGCTGGTGGGAGAGGAAGGTACAATATATTTATGAATTTAGGTATTTGGTAATGATTAGAGACAGTTTTTTTCTGAATTTAGAAGTCAGGTGGTTCCCACCCCAACCCGCTCTATTTCACACCCATCATTCAATTTCCACAATTCAATTTCCAACAATCTTTAAATTTACACAGATATTTATTCTGCAAACAAAAGCAATGAATAGGCTTGTCTGTTGGGAAACACTGGCCAGGAACTTACTGGTGTTGTGACCTGCTGGAATGGAGGAGTAGTGAGCCTGAAAGCCTCTGAAGGAGAATTTGGAATCACTGTGGAAGCGAACACTCAGCATGTTTGAAGAGGACACGTATGTGGGAAAGGAGCCAGAACAGAATCTCCCAAGAAGAGGGGAAGAGTGGAGAGGTCCATCATAGACTTCAATGTAGTCGTGCTGGCACGTCCCACTTTGCATCCTGGTAGAAAAACATCAGCGCTTTGTCAAATCCGTTTCAGAAACTCTGATTTCACTGCCTAACATGTGATAAAGTCTTTCAGCATTTAAAGTTTTCTCAGCACAAATTTAATTTGGCTTTTATGCAGCTTTAGCAGAAAATGGTGAGTAAAAAATGCAACATCAGTCCAGATTTTGATCTGGTCTTCCAACTGTGGATGTCATTGGAAGTATCTTTAAAATTGGGAAGGTTAGTTGTTTCAAATAAGATCTCAAACTTGTCAGGTAAGTTTTGACTTTGATATTTGCCCAGGGAATCAAGGTTTTACTTACACAATATCTCTAAATGTCAGTGTTACACGGAAATTATTCTCCACTTGTATTTCCCACACGCAGTCAGCGTCGTTTGGATAATTTCCAGGGTAGTTGGGACTCTGCAGCACCCCAGAGGGATCTGAGACTGAGCCACCACAAAAATAAGGTGCTGCAGAAAGAAATGGGAAAGAATTTACTTACAGTAACCTCTGCTAAAGTGCACTTGAGCTGTGTGTGCCACACCCACAGTTATTGAAAATATGGTCTCCTGCTGACTGCAGGTGGTAGATATAGGAACTGAGTCAAAACTAATATTTGTTTTTGCTTTCATGTTGGATTTGGAATTCCCTCAGGGGTGGATTTCCATCCATGGTGTCAGACTACCCTCTTCAGGCTGGGCTGGTAACACCTGGATGCTTTCTGCCCCTTTTTAGAGCTGAGGTCAATTCTGGGAGGTGTCATGACAGTTGAAATGGAAGCACCTTCCTCAACAGACAGCCTGTCATCAGTTACTCTGCTGCTTCACTTTATTCCCCTAAGGTCTTTGGAGGGTAAAAAAGTTGCAAGTTTTCTAGAAAACAGCAGCTCTTAGGTCTCAGACTGAAATAAGCCCTTCAGGCTGCTGTGAAAAGTCCTAAGTACAAACGTAGCTGCAAAAAGCTTTAGTGTTCCTGCCAGAAATAATGACATAATTCTTGTCACAAGTAATCCTAAAAGTGTCTTTGTAGGAAGGTGAGCACAGCCTCTGAATATAAGTGCTGCAAGATGTGACATTTAAAGATGAAATCCATTTTATATTCTGCTTGAAAAAGATCACTCACACTTGCAGCGGTATTGTCATAGAGACAAAAGACAAATTTACAGAAATGTGCAACAGGGAGACAGACAGATCACAAATAAGCAAGGTGAGGAGAGCCACAGCAAAGCATTACCTGGTGGAGGTGTTGAAGTGGCCACTGGAGCTGTGGGTGTGAAGGAAGAAGAGAGACATGTGAGAAGTGCAATTTGTGAGAAAGGAACTGAGGCCTAGACATGGCCTCACCTTGAGGCACAGAGTGATAAAATGGGGATCGCAGGGAGGCAGGGAAGTGAAAACAGGAGATGAGGCACAGAGGGCCATGAGCTCCAAGGGAGACCCAGTTGAAAGCACTGCAAATGCCCTGATTCTAGTTTCGTCTGATCATATCCCAAAACTCAGAGTATATCTAGAAAACAACTCTGGTACAACTAGTACAGGAATTGAAGGGATGAAGGCAGATTGACTCCTAGATGCAGCGAGAGGGGAGTTTCAAACCCTGTGCAAAGAGTTTCATTAAACCAGCGATGGTTGCAAAGTTCCTGGACTCAAGGCACAGCTGTGCCATCTGCCAGCTCTTCCCCATGCTCTGTTTGCATCCTCACTTTAGTTTGGGGTGGCCTAACAGGAGAGGCCCAGGGCTGGGAGACTGCCTGCAGTGCAATGAGCTCTGACAAGGGAGAGGAGGAGCAGTGGGGAGGGCAGTGAGTGAGAGTGGACAGGGTTACCTGGTGTGCTGCTCATTGCTGTGCTAGCCACTGTGCTCGTGGTGGTCAGCAGTGCTGGGCTGGACACCTCGGTTGTGTCCGAGGCTGGTGCTGTGGTGGTCATTTCCAGAGGGGTGGGTGTCTCTGTAAGTTGAGGATGTGATGAGTTCAATGGCCATGAAAAGCAGAGGAGGAGGCCTAATGCCAGGCGAGAGGGTGGAGCTCTTTCCTTCCTTTCCCCCATGCTGGCACCAGCCTGACCTGTCCCCAGTCCTGCCCCATTCTCCATAAAGAATGACCCCTCAGTCCACAGCTTTACCTCATCAGTGGATGCCAACAGCAGGAATTATGGAGATCCTGCTGTTCCCTGTCTGTGCATGAATGGGGATTTTGGATGGCATGGGCTGGAGTCCTAGGCAGCACAAGAGCCCAGCCGCACCTCTGCCCTGGCCTGACCCCAAACCCTGTTGGAATGATATGCCAAAGAGCCAGAGTTCCCTGCTGGCCACTCACCTGCACAGATGACACTGGCATCCTCCACGTGCCCGCAGTTGTGCATGCCCCAGCCGTTGTGCTGGCACATCTGCAGGGAGGGCTCGTCCCCGCGGCACTGCACGTTGTCTAGGAAGATGCGGCCGGAGCCCGGGCCAAAGCGAGCATTGCTTGGGGCTCTCAAGGCCTGGCCACAGCCCAGCTGCTGACAGACCACCTGGGCATCCCTCAGGTCCCACTGGTCGTCACACACGGTGCCCCAGGTGCTGCCGTCGAACAGCTCCACGCGGCCCTCGCAGCCATTCCTGCCGCCCGACAGCCGCACGCCGGGCCCTGACAAATGGCACAAGGCATTGATTTGAGTCTCTCCAACCCAGCATCCACAGTCCCAACTTCCCCTACTGTTTTACAGATTTTTGCCTCTGTGACTTTGATCTGGGGTGCTGCAGATCTAGGCTGATCAGGGAAGGGCAGTGACTGTGCAAACATTGTTGGAATATAGATGGCAGATGTGACTTCCTCTGGCCTTGCTGCCACTGTCCTGATTTCGATCCCTGGGGACAGAGATGCTCAAGAGCCTGGCTCATGTGCAGAAAAACCCTTTGCTGCCCTTGCATGTGGTTCATTCACTGTGGGGGACAATTATGCACCCTGGAGATGTCAGGGGAATATGGGAAAAGCTGTATTTGTCCAACCAGATCAGCCCTGTTGGACACCCCTCTTCACTTATTTTGCCAAGTTGAGGCTGACTTTAAAATTGGGCCTAAATTAGGTGGGCTGGGCTTACCTGTTGTGAGCGGCCATTGAGGAGGAAGGGTTGGCTGGGGAACTGCAACAAAGAACAGGCAGTCAACAAATGGGTAGTGAATGCCGCAAGACTGTAATAATGGATGCACATGGACATAGAGAGACATGGACAAGGACATGGACGAGGACAAAGATGTGGATGTGGATGTGGATATGTACATGAATGTGGATGTGGACATGTACTTGGATGTGGGTGTGGACATGAAAACCCAGGCTGTAGGATGTAAAGGGGATGACAGGATGGAGTTCTCTCCAGCCTTTCTCCCATCCAGACACCACTCTGATGTACTCCCAGTCCTGCTCCATCTTTCCCACTCTACAGTCTCTCAATGTGTTTTCTGCGACCTCATCACTCAGCCCCAGCTCTGCCCAGAGAATTCAGCCTGCCTGCCTTCTGTGGAGGAGCCCAAAACCCTTCAGATGGTCTCTGCTGGCCACTCACCTGCACAGATGACACTGGCATCCTCCACGTGCCCGCAGTTGTGCATGCCCCAGCCGTTGTGCTGGCACATCTGCAGGGAGGGCTCGTCCCCGCGGCACTGCACGTCGTCCAGGAAGATGCGGCCGGAGCCCGGGCCAAAGCGAGCATTGCGTGGGGCTTTCAGGGGCTGTCCACAGCCCAGCTGCTGACAGACCACCTGGGCATCCCTCATGTCCCACTGGTCGTCACACACGGTGCCCCAGGTGCTGCCGTCGTACAGCTCCACGCGGCCCTCGCAGCCGTTCCTGCCGCCCGACAGCCGCACGCCGGGCCCTGACAAATGGCACAAGGCACAACAACATCAGGTTTCCAACACCTCAGCACCCACAACCGCATCTCCCCTGCTGTTTTGGAGATTTGGCCACAGTGACTTTGATTTGAGGTGAGCAAACCTAAAGAGGCCAAGGAAGGGGAGTGAGAGAGCAAAGATTCCCAGTGCATGGAAGGCTGACTATGAGCAAGGCAAAGCTGTGCTACACAATCCCAACAGTCTCACGTGCTTTTGGTACCATGTTTGGGAGACTGGCAGCATTTTCATACCTCAATTTCCAATCTGAGTTTTAAAAATTGAAGGAGTATAACAGTAACACCTTAACACAAAAAAACCCACAAACCCTGAGTACCCAACTCTTTGTAAGAAATGGGACTACAGCCTTCTTCAGTGCAGAGTACCGGTGCTGCAGAGCAGCACGTATTACAATATGGGGAAACCCATGAGAACAGCCTGGGGGTCCTGGGAGCTGCTGGGGGCATGGGGCATTTGCCAAAAAGCCATTTTTGCACACCAAGATCATGTGACATTCCCCATACCACTCATACACCTTGCAGGGGTTTGAGGCTATGGGCCCTGGCAGAGCATCCACAAGGAACTGGCCACCTTTGCTTGATGGCTGAACAGCAACAGCCGTGACCTGGCATCAGGACAGATACCTGTGTCTTGGGCTGGGCTGGCAAGCACATGGGCTTGAGGGAAGGGATTGCCCTCATCCTCTTGGTACTTGCTGCCCCACAGCCAGGAGCCATGGAGTGTCTGGCAGACCAGGGCTTGGACTCAGCACCACTGCAGCTGCCGTTCTACTGAGGCTCAGATCCTCCCTGGCAGAAGCCCTCAAATGACAAAACCCTTTGCCATGGGTAGAAGGGACCAGCAGCATTGCAGTGAGCAGGCTCAGCCCAGCAGGCCCCCTCTCTTCTCCTCCTTCTCTCTTCTCCTCTTGTGCCACTATAAAACTGGAAATATGCTGAGTGGGAAGGAATTACCTGTTGTGTACGGCCATTGAGCAGGAGGGGTTGGATTGGCACCTGCAAGGAAGAAGAGGGAGTGAATGAAAGAGCACTAAAGGCAGAAATCTTGTGGCAGAGGATGGACAAAGACATGGACATGGATATGGACATGGGCATGGGCATGGATATGGACAAAGACATGGACATGGCACGGACATGGGCATGGATATGGCATGGATATGGGCATGGATATGGACATGCACTTGAAAATGCTAGACTCAAGGAATAAAGAGATGAAAGGGCATGAAACTCCTGCCACTGACCCAGCCAGACACCAACCTGACACGTCCCTGGTACAGCCCATGCCATGATCCCACCAACCTACTGTTTGCAGCCACATGGAGCACCTACACCTGTGAGACTGGAGAGCCTGTTCTGATCTCTCTGTGCAAAAATGGGGATTTTGCATGACGCGTATTTCAGCACCAGGCAGCAGAAAACCCCAGACTCTCATCTCTGCCCTGGATCTGCATGGCTGCTTCCCATGGAGGACACCAGAACCCATCCAGTGTGAGCTGCTGGAGAGCTGATGGTCTCTGCTGGCCACTCACCTGCACAGATGACACTGGCATCCTCCACNGATGGTCTCTGCTGGCCACTCACCTGCACAGATGACACTGGCATCCTCCACGTGCCCGCAGTTGTGCATGCCCCAGCCGCTGTGCTGGCACATCTGCAGGGAGGGCTCGTCCCCGCGGCACTGCACGTTGTCCAGGAAGATGCGGCCAGAGCCCGGGCCAAAGCGAGCATTGCTTGGGGCTCTCAAGGCCTGGCCACAGCCCAGCTGCTGACAGACCACCTGGGCATCCCTCATGTCCCACTGGTCGTCACACACGGTGCCCCAGGTGCTGCCGTCGTACAGCTCCACGCGGCCCTCGCAGCCGTTCCTGCCACCCGACAGCCGCACACCGGGCCCTGACACACGGCACAGGGACAAGGACAAGGACAAGGACAAGGACAAGGACAAGGACAAGGACAAGGACAAGGACAAGGACAAGGACAAGCTCTCACCAGCTCTGCACCCATAGCCCTGAACTTCCCAACTGCTGTTCAGATCTTGCCACAGTGGCCATGAGGTGGAGTAGTGCACAGCCAAGGGGATTGGGGTGTTTTGTGACTGAGGGTAGACTCTAGGCATACAGACAGCCATTCTAGCCCTATCCAGGGACCTGTTGGTGTCCTGTTGGAACTGCCTGGTTCCAGAAGTCATGGATTCACTGAGGCATTTCCAGAAAATCTCTTTGCAACCCTTGGGAGCAAACCAACCCCAATGGGGACCCTTCAAGCACTCTGGAGTTGTCATGGGCCAAGGGGGTCAGCAGCCTTGCACTGAGCAGGATCAGCACTGTTGGACTGCCCTTTTCTCATCTAGTGCCAGGCTGGGCATCACTTTGAAACTGGGCATAACCTGGGTGAACAGGACCTACCTGTTGTGAGTGGCCATTGAGAAGGAGTGGTTGGATTGGCAGCTGCAAAGAAGAAGAGGGAGTGAATGAAAGAGTACTAAAGGCAGAAATCTTGTGGCAGAGGATGGACA